TCATAATAGATCACACCTTTCTGATCCCACTAAACACAAAGCATTATCTTCCGTCCATAGCGATTTGGCCTTGCAGTCGATGTCGATGGTTCGCCTGGAGTTACCCATGATCTTTTACGCTTAGGATTCTTAAAATATATCCACTTTTCATCGCCAGTCACAATTCAATGGAGAAATGACTTTCTTTTGTACTTGGCGAGCAGCATTTCGCAAGTGGTTTTTCAGTTTTCCTGCTGTCTTTCATTCAGTTCATGTGGAACCCATTTTCTCATCTTCTGGATCAGATTTCAAACGTATGGAGACGGCTTCTCGTGTCACATTCAATTGATCCGCGAGTTGTTGTTGAGTTTGAGCGTCATCCTCATCCAACAATACTTGCAATTCGCTGTCTTCAAACTTTTCCACGTTCTTCGTTTCTCACGTCAAAATCGCCACTTTTGAATTTTTTAAACCACTCAAAGCACTGTGATTTATCAAGAGCATGTTCACCGTAAGCTTCGACAAGCATTCGATGCGATTCTGCAGCAGTTTTCTTCAAATGGTAACAGAATAAATCAATGCTGTCCGCAAATCATAGTTTCCAGGCACAAAATTCGACATGTTCAACACTATTACAAACTATACTGTTGTATGAAACTTGTATTGTTGTGAGTTGAAAATCTTTGTCAGATGTCAGAACAAGGAAATGGCGTCAATGACGCGGTCTGATGGCAACTACATTGACAGCTATGGCCATCTATATTGGTAAATTCCGGCTTCATATTTACATACCTGGTACGTACAACATTAAAAATGTTTTATACGAAAAAAAGGGATCAATGTTTAATTTTTTTTTTTTTAAACAATTCTACTCAACCCTGATGGGATGAACTATAATAGACGCACGCAATGCCAATGTCGAGTTACGCTCAGAAAATTGCCAAGAGGAAAGTGTGTTATACGTGAACAGCTACGTATGTATATACGATCTATGTTCCCACAAAAATAATTACGCTTAGAATGCTGGTCGGTTGGAACGCTAGATACACCATAATATACAAAAGAATAATATAAAAAAAGCCGTTAAAGTAACATAAATAAGACCCACTTACCGTTTGGTACGTATTAAACGAGGTGGGATTTATTGGACATGTGGAATCTTTCAGAACGTCATTTTCTTTTATACAGCAGGCATCAGGGACCATTTTTCCGACCATTGTAGTCCAGTTCTTATTTTCGCTAAAGTCTCGATAATTTTCCACGCCGCAACAATGGAGCTGCAAATATTTCCATCAATATTGGACAATTTTGTCTTTGATCGATAAAATTTTTCTTTTTTCATTTACTGAGTTCTCGTAGACCCGTAAGAAAAACAGATGCAAAAAAGATGTTATGCGTATATTTATACAAATGTCAGTTAAATTATTTTTTTTAATAATTTAAATTAGCAATTTAATTAAGCGTGTTTATAATATGTGATATAATTATATAATATTTCTCTTGGCTCTAGTTTAAAAAAGAAAATTGTGACACTTCTCTATAACTTATCTGCTTTCCTATCCATTTTTTCCGCAATTCATCAAGACGCTTAAAACAAAATTCTGACGAGCGTTTGTAATATGCAATTTCACTACTAAGTGGTATGAGTGCCGATAACTCGTCTTGAGATATTCAGCTTTCACTTATATCAACCCGTCCGTCCTGCGCGCTGTGCAGTTAGCGAAATCACTTGGCAAATTAATTGCGTTTATACATGCAAAATACATAAAATCCAGAAGAATCAATGTACGATCAATTCGCGTGTCAGCTTGTTGAAATTATGTTAGCGTTATAATTAGTAACTTTACCTTACTCATGATACCATCCCACGCGACTGTCATAGTATCAATTTTATCGCTGGTGGTCGCATAATATTTAGTGATGGTATCTTTCAAGAAGTCCTGCGTACCTTTTTCGACCTGCATAATTTCATACTAAAGTGAATTTTATTAAAAATATATATATATTAATATATGTAACTGATTATTTGCTCGACGTTGGTTCACTGGTAGAAATTAGAATTCGCGTGGAATATAATTATAAATACGCACGTCTCCTTTAAGTCCAAAAGCGAGGCCGACTACCACACACTCCAGGATCAAAACCACCAAGATTAAAATGCCGTACTGTAATCACAGAAAATGTTTTCTCCTTTTTGTGTAATTTCGTCCCGATACGCGCCCGATTTTATTAACAAGGCGGTGATTTTAGATATAAGCAAACAGTAATAATGTAATCTTCTTATGGACTCTCCCAAATTCAACAACAAAAAACTCCAAAAAACAGGGCGAATGAGAGTCAGCGTGGTAATTAATACGCAATCTTAATTAACAAATTAGGTCAAACAGTGGTTGATATTCAAACAAAATACATAAAAGGCAGTAAACCACTAACGCTCGGTGTTGGTAGCTAAGTATATACATTATATCAAGAAATTACAAATTATAGACGTTTCGGTCTTAAATTAGACCATCTTCAGTAATAGAAAGTGAGTGTTTCGCATACAAAGCAACCCGCAAATTAGTCGTACAGAAGTCAATAATAAACATTTTTTATAGTCAACAAAAGTAAATCATATTCTTGCTGTGAATCAAATTCTTCTCTATACAGAAATAGTGATTCTTCGGAGTAAATTATTCTTCGCAAATTAAGATATGCCGTCATACCAGGGAAGAAAATCGCCACAAGTTCTTAATAAAATTCCGCAATGTGACATAATTGAGCACAGGATTTCCTGATTTTGTGTTAACAATCCGTCTAAAAGCAGATAGAGGAGTTGGAAAAATAAAGATTAAATATGTCTAGGTTATCAGTCAAAACTAAAAAAATGTCATATTGCGGAATTTTATTAAGAACTTGTGGTGATTTTCTTTCCTGGTATGACGGCATATCTTAATTTGCGAGAAATAATTTACTCCGAAGAACCAATATTTCTGTATAGAGAAGAATTTGATTCACAGCAAGAATATGATTTACTTTTGTTGACTATAAAAAATTTTTATTATTGACTTCTGTACGACTAATTTGCGGGTTGCTTTATATGCGAAACACCCACTTTCTATTACTGAATATGATCTAATTTAAGAAAATTAGAAAGACCGAAATGTCTATGATAATTGGTACTTTCTTGATATAATATATATACTTAGCTACCAACACCGAGCGTTAGTGGTTTACTGCTTTTTATGTATTTTGCAATCTTAATTCTTTAATCCAAAAATAGAATCTTTATTCCAAAAATAGTACGTTTCAGTTCACTTTGGAACCATCTTCAGCCAAAACAAATTTAAAATATCAATCCCTTTATGTCAAAGAAAAAAATCACTATCAGATAAGCAGATTTGATGTTATAATCCCAAGACATGTTTTGTTTGCAACTGAATGTCATGTTTCGTTCGAGCTGCGATCAACATGCGTTTTTTAATTTGATACTTTTTAGTGAATATTAACTGTAATTAGTTGATCCAATGTTGAGACGAATTCCTTCTATGTCTTGGGATTATAACATCAAATCTAATCTGATGGTGATTTTTTCTTTGACATGAAGGGATTGATATTTTAAATTTGTTTTGGCTGAAGATGGTTCCAAAGTGAACTGAAACGTACTATTTTTGGAATAAAGATTCTATTTTTGGATTGAAGAATTAAGATTGCGTATTAATTACCACGCTGACTCTCATTCGCTCTGTTTTTTGGAGTTTTTGTTTTAGATATAAGGAAATAAATCGGAAACACACGACAAGATTATTATTTTCAAAAAGGTTTATTTTATGTTTTCGATAATTTTGTAAATAATTTCTTCTCTCAATTATACCAGCAATAACGAACATTAAGTATTTTGTATTCGTTATTATGTACATCATAAATGAGAAAAAAAGAAAATCAAGGAGAAAATATCATGTTATATTATTATAATTAAATAGCGCTGAATTTTATGTCGTCTGCACTGTTTTAAATTGCTCGATTGCTGGATATCTACTACAACCAACAGTGCTGCTAGCACTACTAGTTTTGTATTACAGTACACAGTGAAAGAGATGCAATATCGAAAGAAATGACAAAATATTAAAATTTTGTCATTAAAAGTCGTATTTATCGCTCACTATTGACTCGAAGCTATTTGTATGTGAATTAAAAACGTATAATGTTTCTATTTACTATGTTTCTATATACTAAACATATAAAAAAATTTGTAATCTTTGTGTGTTTCGTAAATCTCTGTGATTTTACATTAGACTGCTTGCAAGTGCCATGTATACATATAGGCGAGATGGAATTGCGAACGAATTGTGTTTTATCAGAACGGACTTACGACACAGAGGAGACACCTGGACTCGAACATAGCGCCGCAATACCCAAGAAAACTGATAATGAACGTGAGAGCACCAGCGATGATAAGAATGTAGGCCATCATCTTGATGACATCGGCATCCGTTTTGGTCTGCAAAAACAGCAAGGTGCGATGAGAATACAAATCGTCCCGCAATAAATATTCATCACCGAACGTGGAATACAAGGTTGCACGATATTACGAGCATCCTTAAATCAGTTGAATCTTTTTCCTGTCTAGAATTTGCGCGTTCATTATGTTACGCAAATTTATTTGTATTATAATAAAATTATATTTATTATAAACTAACATATCCATGTTAATAAAATACATCAATAATAATTATTTTACTGAAGTGCATGGTAAAAATCTTTAAATTGTACCACAACTCCCATATTTTTAGAATAAATTTTAAAAGGCGTGTATAATTACTAATTATTAATATATAATTATATAATATAAAAAGATATATATTATATATTTATTGTAATATTTTAATATGTTCAATTTTAAAAATAACAAAGAGGTATATACTTGCTATGTAACAAATGTAAAATAAGAATATAAGTCGAACGAAAACCCTGTTTAACCAGAAATCGTAGAAAAATAAAAATCACAAAGATTGGCTCGTTTATAGTAATACTAATTCATAAGCTTTTATGTTTAGTGGGAAGTTTACGATCATTTGTTACAAACTGCAAGATTTCCGAGCTCCATTTGAAATCATCTCGTGTTTTACGAACGAAATTATGCGATTTTGAGCAATTCATGTGACTCGATCCTAAATTAACGCAATTAATTTTGTATTTCCTTAAATTAATTGCGTTTCGATGGCATTTATCATATTGATGGTATTATATTGTTAGCTATATTATTTAAAATGTTTATTTATTATCTGGCTAATCCGGTTGTTATCATTTTCTAAAAAGAAAAAAATTCTTAGAACTAGAAAAAGATAAAAAGTACCTAAATTAAGGGGATATTCTACTTTGAATACTCGTTTTCAAGACGATTTTTGGGAATTAAATTTGTAAAAATGGTTAAATCTATACAGCTAATTTGATGTATTTTACATTTATCTATATTTGAAATACTATCTCAAATTTTTACAAAGCGTTCTATTGTTAATTGTAAAAGATATAAGTAAATATATCAAGATTAAAAAATTTGCTTTCATCGGGCGTGATGATTGCTGCCATCCTCGTCATCTAAAACAAACAAATTTTTTTTGTTTTATTCTTTATAAATGTAGTTATCGTTTGGCCCTCTAATAAATAATTGGAAGAAAAGTTGATAAAATAACGGCACTTGAAAAAGTGTTTCAATTTTTACTAAAAAATATTTATTTCTTGCGATCCGAAAAAATAGTAATTTTGAAGATATCAAAAAGTTGGAGGGTCAAACGATAGTTTAATATGTACACTGTATATGTGCCAAAGCGGAAGTTGATCGGCCCAGTAGTTCTTAAGAAAAATACACGCCCGATTTGAAAAAAGCCGTTTCGAGAAAAACGCAGTTTCTCATGCATTTACGAATAATGAGTAATTTTATTAACTTACCCTTAGTCGGCTATACCAGCTCCGTATAAAATACCTTCCTCAGTTTCAAATTCATCGTGTTGGGCAGCCATTACTTCTCTCCTGGCAATCCTTGCCTCTTTAGACTCGTAAGACACCCGCTTGTCAGAACGCTTGTCAGAACGTTTAATGCGCTCGTTGTCTCTGACATCTGCGTATACGTTTTAGCAATCTGGCCGATTTTTAGTCCCATCACATCCATAATTTGTAGAATTTTGTGAAATCCTTCATTAAAATTGCAAATGCCTAAGAATGTTGCAATTTCTATAGTCTTTTTACCACAATGGAGATATTTCGGATCCATTGTCCAGATTACTGAATTTATGCTTTCACTTCAAAAATTCGCATCCGTATCGTTCGGATCTCGAGAACACATTGACTTCTTATAACGGAAATTTTGAACGAAATTTCAGACACAAAGGATCATCCTGTATATAGCACTATCTGGCTGCATACACTAATACTACTTGACGCAAACGGTCCGTCCGTCAAAGTAGAATACTGCGCTCAGGTAGCGCGCTGACAGCTGCGCAGAATAATTGTTATAACTTCGTTAATATTGTGAATTTTTGTATAAAATTTTACAGAGATATTCTACAGACTATAAGGATTGAAAAAACGTAAAAAAAGAAATCGATTTTTTTTTACTCGACAAAGTAGAATACCCCCTTAATATCGAGATTAAAGTTAATCTACACTTGAATACATAAAAATGAATTACCTTATATGGCCCTATTCTATGATTCTTAACAATGTTGTTATTGAACAATTGTCGTTAGTAAAGAACATTTCTTATTTCATAACAAAATAGCGACAAAACTGTCGCTATTTTGTTATGAAATTAAATGAAGTAAATTCAACAGCAGCTAGAGAGATGTTGTTAAGTTTACGACAATTTTGTTACCATTTTGTGTGGTTAATGAGAATAATCGTTCGATAATAATTAAAGTTTGTTAAGGATTAAAGAACGGGGCCCTTAATATAATATGCAAAGTAAAGACGCATAAGCTATGAACAATTATTAGATCGAGCTCGTCACACCAAGTATCCAATTGCGAGTATTGTACGGGAACGTGCTCGATATAAGAGGATGACATAATGGCTCGCGAACGGTACTTGGAATACTTATAAGCTCCCTACATACAAGTTGTCGTCATGCGTGATAGATATCGAGTTTCACGAGGCGGATTAGCTAGAGTAGAGACATAGACACTCCTTTGTGTGGAGCGTCATGAGAAACGAGGCGTACATCTGCCGATGCCACCGTCGTGGACTCTCCACGATTTTATATATTTATTAAAAGAGAAAATTGTAGAAGAAGAAACGAGAGAAAAAAAAATCTTTTCTTCAATATATATTTCCGCTCATTGCTTTTCCGAATCGACGCGAGCCGCTCACGCCGGGCGGCGCACCGGTTTGAGAGCATAAAGACTAATTGTAAGCTCGGGATGTGGTATCTTTCGTGCAAATCTTGGAGTGAATGAAGTATGCGTGTGTAAACTTGATATACGAGGTATAATCCGATCTAATAGTCGAATGGTAACGTAAAGTAACAGAGAATCGTGCTAATCTACCCATCGCGTGTGAAGATCTATATATCCACGGAAGAAACAAGGTTTCTTAGGACTTTAGGAAAGTATTAGTCGATTGATAATTTGAAGGGCTGACAAATCGGGGAAAAAAGAGAGGTCAATTGTAAGAGTTTTTGGATATTACACGATGGTTTCGTTGATGTATCTATAGAAATTTAGTTAGATACACATCTGAAAATATTTATGTAGGTCAACATCTCCAATATATGTTCTACATAACATTTTCATATAAGTTTTGACGAATAATTTCTCTCTAATTATAAGCAATAATATTCAATATTTAGTAAATTCGCCAATTTAATGCAATGATGTAAATAGACAAATATATGAGGGATATATGCAATAACATTACTACCACTTAATCCAACGTTCGCTACAAAAAAGAATTTCGATCTGAGTATAACGCTTTTGTAAGATCAATTTCAAAATTATTTTATTATTATTAATTTTGCATTCGTTTAATTACTATATGATTTTGAAGAAGACCCAAACTAGTGGTCGAAACGTATACGTATATCATGTATAGAATAAAATTTGTACACAGTTATATTTTGTGAAAAATTCAGATCTACAAGTCAGGCTAATAAGAGTCAACGCAGGTCAAAAAGCGTAAGGATTCTTCTTCCAAAAAGAAAAATTTTTTTCAATCAATTCGATGTTGTTGAATCATCTTTATTAAAAGTCTTGAACGTTTCGATTCTCTTTCGAATCAAAGATGATTCAACAACATCGAATTGATTGAAGAAAATTTTTCTTTTTGGAAGAAGAATCCTTACGCTTTTTGACCTGCGTTGACTCTTATTAGCCTGACTTATAGGTCTGAATTTTTCATATTTTTAATTCGAGAGTCTAAGATACATACAAATTGTATTTATATATTTTATTGTTATATTTTGTGTTGGCTTAAAATAAGGCAATTATAATTAGCGATTTTTGCCGAGAATGCATAACTATAATTTCAATTCAAGACCGATACGAGCCTAAGATAATCTATCGCACATACATTCATGCTTCAGGATTGCATTAATCTCAAATTGAATTTATCTATTAACAAGCCAATCAAATTGACAATGCCAATGCGACTCTTAATACAACCATTTGGCCAAATCATAAAAAATTAATGCTGCTGTTTCATTGAGAACAGCAGCGGAAATATACTTGAGAATAATTTACAAGTGCTTTCGTGATTCGGATAAGACGATCAACGCCATCGCGTGACCCACGTTTTACGTTCGCGAGACTGCAGCGGCTTGGCTCTAAAGTATTCCATTGCGATTTGTATCCGTCGTGGATTACTTCGTGAGCACATTGACACTCTTATCTCGAACACCTGTTGAACGGATATCAGATATTTTTAGTACTAAAGGTACCACCTTGATATAGGCGTGCCAACGTTGCACGTCTTATTGAACTACCACTTGACGACGGAGCGTGTGCCACGAAAAATCAGGTCACCAGGTGAAAGGACTAATAAGGAGGCTGTCTCGTGTTCGGTTTCACCGGCTTGTTCCGCCAGATTGATCAAAACTATTCGAGCGACGACAGCAAATGATAAGCGACCGACGTGGCTACTCAGTTTTATATATACGGGTTGACCATCAGAAAGTTACTGAAACTAAGTAGCTGTTATTTTGTGACGATATAAGCATGGGAAACAAAATCTAATTACATAAATTGGAAATTCAATAGTTTTAACCAGATAAATACAAATCGGATACTTATAGTTGAATCTATCAAATATTTTACTCAAGATAACCAGAAATTCAATTATGATAATCAGAACTCTGATTAGTATGATCAGAATGCACTTTATTTGTATTGTATAATACTTCTTGTTGATATAACCAAAATATTTTTCTCATTGTCAGGGCGATGAATTAAACACTGTACAGTAAAAGAAATCCGTTTTTATTAGCACATAAAGTGCAAAAAAGAAATATAT